TTTAAGACTTCATCTTAGTCATAATTTTTTTACTACAATTTAAAATCATGAACCAGTGTTCTTTTCTATTATTCCCTGGTTAAAATATAACAGCAGAAGGGGAATATTAGCAATCCTAAAAAGCAAAAAAGTAACTTGAAACCAAGATGTGAAACATTATTGTATTTCGATAGAAAAGGAAATATGAGACATGTACAGCTGTTATTTTCTTATTTTAGAATTAATATTATATATATATATATGATATTTCTCAGTTATATTTTATCTTTTTGTATACCCAAAATTAAACATATATATACCCAAAACTAAAAAAAAAAAATTTTAATTATCCTATTTTGTTGTCAATAAAATATGTTTTTTTTTGGTGAAAAATATAACTCGTGATTGAGCATCCCTTAACAAAATTTAATTTAACCTCAAAACAAATAAAACCTAGGTGTGAAAATTCTAATTTTGCATTATGATATGATATAGGCAAGCCTCAACAAGCTCATGAATGCGAGCAAGGAAAAAAAATGGAAGGAAGAAGAAAGAAGCAAGTGTTTAGAAAATTATTGAAAAATATGTAATAATGTGATAAAAAATATTAATTAATAACATTTAAATAAATATAAAATTTAAGTTCATTTAAATATAAATTCAAATATATCTGTATCATGTTTGTATTTATGTTTAAATATCCTTAAGTTTATGTTTATTTTAATGCTATTGAATAACTTGTGACCTAAATTTACCTTCTTCACAGGTGTAATGAAAATCCAAACACATTCTTGAGGTAGTAATGAGAATCACGTGAGATAAGAAAAAGGAGGGTCATTTTTAATAGATGGCAGAAGGGAAGGGAAGGAGGTAGGAGATGGAACATAAAACAAAGTTAGATTTTGATATCACTGTCCCCTGCAGTGATTGCTACGCGACTGAGAGAAAGATCATTCACTAGCTGTATGGTATAATGTATGTATGTATGAATGCCTCTGCCACAGGCAGCATGTTTGCCTATTCCAATTCAAATGTTATGCCCTTCATGTCATGCAAAAATTGGTCTACAATCTTGTGCCTTTCTACACTCACACTCTCTCTCCTCATTATGCTTCCACCCTTTGTTGCAAAAACTGCCCCTCCAACAACTCATATTCAATCCTCTCTCTCCCATGCCGTAATGTCAAAATCCAAGCTTGCATGTCATGTCACGATCACCTTAGATTCTTACTCTCTGGACTTATCAAGGGCAAGAGCTTCTTTTCTCTTTTCCTTATATTCTTCACTTCTTTTTCTTATTTTAATATGGAAAGCTAATTATAGACACAACTTAGTGTCTGCTTTTCATTTTTTTCCCTTCCTTTTGTCTTAGTAATCACAAATGTCGCAATAACAAGAAAAATGGTGTGGTGGAAGGAGTCCTCTAAAAAGGGTTCTATTGAAACTCAAAGAAAATAAACAAAACAATGCATATCCTATGGCACCTCCTTCTAGTGTACGAGTTTCTATAAGAGTGAAAAAGATATCAAATTCTAGGAAGTTGGAAGATGTGTATAATATTCAAAGTCGTAGATCTTCCTGAAAGTAGGGTTTGGCTCCTTCCTCAAAATATAATCAATGTCCTTCCTTGTCATCATTCTTTATATGTGCAACAAGTACCTTAAAAGTGTGATGCAACCATGCATTGCTCAAATAGCTAGTGTTGCTACCCGGTTGTTAATAGAACAAGACTATGAATGATGCTTTCTAGTTATGGTATGGTTTTGAGTATTGATTAAAAAATCAGAAGATTTTTTTTATTAAAATAACATTAGAAATGTGAAATAATATTTTTAAATTTTTGCTATCTAACTAATATTATACAGTGAAGGGCATTTTGCTTTGAATAACAGGTTAAGCATTAAAGGGATTGCGGGGAATGTAGGGAAAAAGAAAGCTAACTCTACAGAGCAGAGGCTTATTATTAACTAACTTGATCAGGATGATAAGGAAACAATGTGGAATCTCTTTGTCCGAAGGATATAACGTAAGTTTCCTACTTTTTATCGGACAATGCGTCTTTCGCGCTTCCACGCTGCCAGTATTTGTCATCGACTAAGACCCATCTTATTAAGCGATTAGTCCATTGCTACGGATCAAGTGATTTTCAAATATTTTATAAAAAGTACAAGTTTCTTTTTATATATAATTATAATGACTAGTTATAATTTTTCATGGTATATTTTTAATTTTTTATAATCGTAATTAAACAAATAAAATATAAGAAGTGATTATTTTTTATGAAATTTTTTTAAGCAAACAGACTCAATATTAAATAATTTTTTCGCTTAAAATTTTAGTCATTGAATTGTTTTTAAGTATTTAATTATTTTAATTTTTTAAAGATTTTATCTCTAAATCAATATTTTAAAAAAAAATTAGAATCAAATTAATTTGATAAAAACTATGTGTCCTTGTTTAAAATATTTTTCATGATACTCGCAAGAATAGCTTATAAATTTTGAACGGGCGTATGAGGTCTATAAACATGTATTAGGTAAATAACATAATCAAGTGCAAATTCAACCAAAGCTTATTTCATAAATTTTAAACGTTTTTAAAATATATTAAAAATATGTTTTTTAACAATTTACTGATCATTGACCTGTCATTATAAATCATGGGCAAGCAATATGTAGATGATACCTTAAAGTTTTTTAATAATCAGCAAAATCGTATTTTAATAAGTTTTACTAAAAAACTAATTTTGAAAAGGGTAAAATGAATAGAATATATGATGCCATTTTAAATCTTTGAAAAGTATTTTAGTGACAGATTAGAAAAAATTATAATTTTAAATACACTTTAAGGTTGTATTTAGATAGAGAAATTTAAAATTATTATGTTGCATGTATTTGGATAATAAAAAATTAATTTAAAAATATTATAAAATTTTAAATAAATAAATTTTATGTTTAATAGAAATAATTTACCTTTAGAGCGAATTAAAAAGTCTATCTATTGTACTTTTTTTTTATATCTAACATTCATAATTCTTTTTATACTTGATACTTACTTTAACAACCTTTGTGATTGATTTTATATTTTAAATTTTTCTATTAAAACGCAGCTTAGATTTAATTTTTAATAACTGTCTCAGGGATGATGAGTGAGATTTTTTTTTTTTTCAAAAAATTGATTACTCTTTTTTATAAAATGTTTTCAAAAGTTAATTACTGTTTTCAAAAGAAGAATTATAGAGACACCATGTGAATTGTGATGCGTAAAAAGTGTGGCTGATAAGAAAAAGAAAACTGAGATTATACTTCCTAATAGCATACTAAAAACTTGTTTAAAAAAGGCCAAGTTCTAATTCTTGAAACATATGGCAAGACGCCAGTGGTGGACTAGCTAAGTAGGAAGCACTCTTTGATTATATAAAAATATTTGAATGCAGAGGATCACGAAAGCAGATGAATGATGAATGATGAATGATGAATGATGAAAGATGAAAGATGAATGATGGATCCATATAAGGGGTGTGTGTGGATTATATGGGAAAGTGGTGTTTATGGTAACGTGAGAGAAAAGAAGGTCAACGATGGATGAAGAGATTAGAATGGCAGAATGTAAAGAGGTGTGTGAGGGTGATTTGACAAATGACAGCGCATGCATGCAGTCCCCAAATAACCTTTCTCGACGGCCAGCGGCAGCACACAGAGAATACAACACAACACAGCCTGTGCTATCCCTATGCACCTAATGCCTATCCCCTATTCCCTATTCCCTGTTCCCTGTTCCCTGTTCCCTGTTCCTGTCACACTATCACGTCATCTCTATTCTTTCTTCTATACTTTACTCCTTCGCGCTCCATTCATAAACCTTCTTTTCCTGTGTCAAATCAAATTTATAAGTAAATTCATTTCAAAATAACAAACTTTACTTTTTACTGATCAAAATGTTAGACTATGAACAACTGGGTTCATTCCATTTTACCCACTGATAATGCTAGGCAACCCACAATTAAACGATTTTTAATATAGATATTTCTTGCCTTCTTTTTTAGGCCATGAAAGAATTCGCTTTATCATTTATATCTTGCCAGCATACAGGCTCAAGGATAAGGGACATGACTCTAAATACATAAAAAACAAAGCATGGTCACTCTCTTTCTTTTTCGGTTCTCGAAATAAAGCATTGTATTAGCAAAGCAAAACCATAGTTTTGTAAATAATAATAATAAATCCGTAGTTTCATTTGCAGCCCAAATTAGGCCCATCTACAAAAATGCGACAAGAGGATGTCTCTTTAGCATTTAAAAACAATGGTTTCCGATTTATTAATCTAACCGTGATTAAATTATATTAAGCCTGCCACAATTAAAGGTATATTAGTAGTAATTTTAAATAATATTTCAAAACAGTAAATTAAAATAAAATCATAAAATTAAGCCAAAATTTAAATTTAAACAAAAAAATGATTTTAAAATTGATGTCCTGCAAAATACAAATTATAAGTAAACATTTGATTACAGATGACAATTACGTACCCTCCTCATATCTCCACATAAAGCATCGATTTTAAAATAAAAATTAAATTATACGTATAATCGTAGAGCTTTGTGGCTACAACTTACGAACAATATTTTAGTGAGTTAATATTCTCGTATCAATATTAAAAACCTAGCTCTTGATATCCCTTTCTAACATCGTAATTCATTGGGGGGTATCATACTATCTATGTCAAGTCGTTCTTCAGGCCTATTTGTCGACATGTATTATTCGTTACCCATCCAATAGTTTTTTTCCCTTCAATAATTAAGAAATGAAACAGCATTTTTATTTAAATAAAATGCGGATATTAAATTAGGATAGGAATATCTAAGTATACTCATGAAGTGGATTTTGGTAATTACATTTTTTATATAAGGGGCGTCTCTTCAAACATACCAAGATTTTTTTGAGGAAGAATTGTTTAGATGTGACTCACTACTCAGACTTGATCAAAATGGTTCAACGTTTTAAGGATAAAAAAGAATCGTCAGAGTAATAAATGATTGATTATTTACTTTCAGAACCATGTACAACTGAAAATAGCAATGCACTAATAATATACATTCTGTCATTCTAGTGATTTAAACGGACAAAGACGTTAACAACGCCAATGTAAACTAATACCAAAAATTCACATAAAGGGTATATAAACTTAAGGCCTAATAGATTGACCCACAAACTATAAAATTCTGCTGCAAGCCTCAAAATCGATAGTTAACAGTGTCGTTGACCCAACGCACAAAATGGTGGTGATTTGCTCAACATCAATTTAATTTTGCTTATTTTGAAGATTCAGTAACCTGAAAATTCGAAACTCCAAATATTCCCCCAACCCTCTAATTGCTCCTTTGAACAAGCAGCAGCCATTCTTCTTCTTCTTCTTCTTTCATTGTTATTATTATTATTATTCAACCAATACTATTTAAACACGTTGCTTTTTGTCAAATTTCGTGTGACAAGTGTTGGTACTACATAGCAAAACTCTTATTTTAGAGCCAGCAATTCAAGTAGGCAAAATAACTAAAACTGTTGTCCTAACCACATAATGTCATATACTCCAAGTAACCACACAAGCAATAAAGGGTGTTGTTTAAGAAGCATATCATCGCAGAGTGAACAGATATACTTGGGATTAGGTCCAATATTAGCTTCCTTGATGAACATGACTGGTCTGGTAGATAGTTCAGATGAATGAATTAAAAAAAAAAGAGGTGTGTCATATTTATTTACAGAGGAAGGTGGCTGTTTTCTTATTTTCAAATGCAAAAAGATTCTTGCACCACTATGGTAATAAATTACATTATCACTTACCAATCTTACCATTCAACTCATTAAGCTCTTCCTTTGCTGAATGAACTGTGTAGTAGATTCCAAGGCAGAAATAAGACATTATAACCAATCTATAAGAAAATCTTAAGTTGTCAATTACAATTGCTACTAAATGCTAGGAAAATTTCTAGCCTTCAGCCTTAAACCCATCAATTGTCCTATATCCCTTTTCATAAGATGTAGGGAAATGGATCCCGTTTTCACTACGTGTGTGTCCGAATATCCATTTCAGTGTCATTTCTAGTGTCTGTCAAAGTCCATTCTTCAAAGTAATCAAGTTCCAATCTGTTGCTAATAAAAAGGCTAGCTATCTCCTTTTCTTATTTCTCTTGTGCTGCTGTTCTACATCACTATCTCTGAAATTAATGGCAGTTAAAAGTCAATGCTCACAACAAATTTATTCATGGTTTCAATTCCAAAAGTGTCTAGTTTATCATCATGTACCGTGAACGGTGAGCTTGTTTGGTTTCACAACAAATTTATTCATGGTTTCAATTTCAGAAGTGTCTAGTTTATCATCATGTAACATGAACGGTGAGCTTGTTTGGTTTCACAACAAATTTATTCATGGTTCCCATTCCAAAAGTGTCTAGTTTATCATCATGTAACATGAATGGTGAGCTTGTTTGGAAAACCGATCTCAAAAAGTGATAGACTAAAATTCAAATGGACCAGCCTCCACTGACTTAACAATTAATGCACCTTTAATTGATCAGAGGTGTAATAGTAGTAAACACATTTAATTGATTAAAATTCAATTACAGAAAACATCTACTCTTACTTGTTTTATTTTAGTCGTTAATACATTATGGTGCCTTGGACATGCAACCAATTGTTACCACCGCCGTACTAATGATGTGAGCAGCTACAAAACAGAAGAAGAAATTTTGTATCACGATTTAGAATGCAATGCTCTCCAGATGGCTATAAAACTCATACAGTGATTGTTATATAAAGAAAAAGAAAAAGAAAAGATTATTATAACAAGAAGTTTTATCCCTCTAGGTAAGATTGGCAACATAGATCACAAAATGTCACTGAACTCAATCAAAACCGAAATTAAAAGAAAAGATTACTATGAGGAAAAATATAAATTATTTACACAATTAGTTCAAAGTATTCAGAAATTCTGTTGAAGTAGAAATTAACTGTATATAGCTTTGTAAATATCAATTTTCATAATTAAAAACTTCAATAATAGTTTTGGTAAGCTCAAGCATTGATTTCATCATCTAATCAAGATCTGAATTGCTGCTGTTAGATCTCAAGTTATATTTGTACTTTTTTTTATTATAGCTTTTAAGTTATATGAAAGTTAACAAGAGCATTCAAAATACATATATCAGCTTCTAATTCAAGATCAATTCATTAACTCAATAGTTTATTCTGTACAGTTACAAACATATTTTCATGGATACAGCAGTTGTAGTAGAGGTGCAACACAAGTTCAAATTTATATAAATGCAATTGTATGGGAAGACCTTTAAGCAGTTTACAAGAATGAATAGCGTATGCTTTGATACCAAGCTTTGAAGTGTAATTAGAAACAGAATATCATGAGATATGATAAAGATGAAAAGGTTATATACCTCAAAGAGTTCAAAGGGACTGCCACGGCGATAGTCATCATTCTTCTTACTTTTATCTACTGGTAGAATAGTATATAGTAATGCTCTGAATGAAATAAGTAAAACAGCAGTGCTTCCCAGACTCACAAATACAAAACCATAATTCGGGAGATTTCCTGATGTTGCTGCTCTTATTACTATTCCTATCTGCCAAGAAATCAAAGAGATAAATGGGATCAATTTTGTGGACTGTCAATGTTTAAAAAGAAAATAAAACAACTGTGCAACACTTTTTTCCCCAGTACAGAACAACTAAATCATCATGCATCTGTTAAACAATTTTTTTTCCTTTTCGATCTTAGATAAGACAATTACAATATGTTTGTGTGCACTTACGGAAAAAGGTTGCCAACACATACCATAGCAATACCAAAACATCCCTATGAATGCAAAGCTCAAGCTGTAATTAGCAGTTGAAACTCAAAATTAACATTATACTTAACTTCCCGCATGTTGAAGTTTAATTTAAAATGAAAGAGCTGATTTCATTTATAGCTGAATTCTTTAAGAAACTCATTTGGCATGATACCAGCTTATCAATTCAATTCATGCTACGTTTGAAACTGCATTGCATACATAAGGAACGTACGTTCAGTTGAACGTGAATTTAAACGCGACTAAAATACAAACCATTTGGTGCATTGTAAGTCATTTCATTTCAAATCAACGATCTTCAATTCTGAAGTTTTAAGTGTGTAAAATAGATGCTAAAGCAAAAATACCAATGAAGAAGATGGATGCAAGTCAATAAGATTCATACAAAAGAAGCATTCAACTTATAGCATGTTTTGATTCGCCTTTAAATGCCCAAGAACCTACTTTTACTTAAATGCTATTGGGTTGTAACTTCAGCGTTGAATTCACATTTACAGATTTTCTAAGGTGCTTCCAAACACACACTTACAGGGATCCCAAGAGCCCATGACTTAGCAGTAGCAATGACTCCATTGGGGAGACCCTTCATCCCACGGCCATCCTCCCCATAACCTCCAAGCAAGTAAGCACCCAAAAACCACCCTGCAAAGCAATGAACAAACCCAATTTTCAAAGTTCAAAACCTCTCCTATTCTCTCTCTCTTCAAAATAGGAAAGATCAAAACACAAGTTTTACAATCATAAAAGAAAAGAGAAAGCACACCAGCTATAAAAGGATCAGCAGTGCGCAGAGTCTCAATGTCCAAAATAGAGAGGCCATGACTATATCTTCCAATCGTTGCAAACAAAAGCAAGGCCAACACATCCACACTAGCTAGCAGAGCCACACGTCTGCAACATAATAACCCTTATACCACGTACCCCACTTGAAAATTTGCCAAAAAGTTTTCTTCTTTACCAAGAAAACCAATACGAGTAATTCCTCAAATTAACATGGTAAATTCAAAATTGGTTTTGTTAACTTAGTGCTTCAGGACTAAATGGAGGCAACTAAAAATAGTAGTTTTTTTTTAATTAAAAAAGAAAGTATTTATTACATTGGAGATAAATATTCCTTTTTTGAATAAAAAATTAATATTTTTAGATTCTTAACAAAATCGATTAAAAATATAACTCAATTTACTCCTTAAAATTATAAAAATTTTATTTTGTAACAAAACCTTGTTAATCAGTGTTGTAAAGACATTAGTTAATTAAAAAATCAATAAAAAAATTAAAAATCATGTTGGAGTTGTATTTGAAATCACATGAAGAGTATTTTATCACATTTTTTAATAATTTTTTTATTTTAAATTTCTTAACAACCGATTTACATTTTACCTTACCAAAATTACTAATCTTACATCATTGTAGTTAAGGTCTTGCTAATCAAATCTTAAAGATATAAGTTAAAGAATCAATAAAAAAAATAAGAAATTATGTTAAAGTAATTGAAAAAATGATGGTAAAAACACATTAATAAAACATTTCCGAAATTTTACTTTTAACTCATTAACTAATGGTGGACATTTACTTGTTAGTTATTATTATAATTTATAAAACTAAAATAGCAGTTATTTAATAACGTCATAAACTAAAATAACAACTATTGCATGATAACTTCATCAGTATTTCTAAAATTTTAAGGTTAAAATTACCATAATTGGTAACTTGAAGAACATGGTCGAAAAAAATTACCCCCATTTTTCAAGAGGAGAAGAAGAGGTGGGTTTGTCGAACTGGATAACACCCTCCAATGGAACATCCTCGCCACCCACGAAAACCGTTTGTTCATTGTCAAAAGGAGAAGAAGAGGAATTGGTGGCTGAACCTGAATCGATGTTTCCCTGTGCTTTGGCTCTTACGGAGATTCTTGAGGTATCAATGAATTTGGGTAGAAGATTCGAGAATCGTAGTGGGTTTGTTGCTGTGATGAATTTGGGTGGAGTCGATAGAGAACACTTTGAAAACATGGCTCCGCAAGGAGCTTGGCTGTGGCTAATCAGTATCATTGCTAATACTGTGTCGATGCTCCTCAGAAGTTTATGTTCTGCTTTCTCATCCACACAAGATGATTCTATTGCAATATAGCGTCACATGTGAATTCTTGGACAAATCTACACAATTTATATTCGTAAATTGTGTGGATTTTTTTTTTCAAGTAACATGTCAATTAAATCCTGTATTTATAAATACGCTTAATTTAATTTTCTAAAATTATAAAAGTGTTATTTTAGTTTTTTTTGGTTTTAGTTCTTGATGTTATCAAATAATAGTTATTTTAGTTTTTAAAATTATAAAATAATTATTGACATTAGGGATTAATATAGTATTTTGTAATTTTAGAAATTAAGTATTAATCATATTTTTATTGTATTTATTGTTATTCTTATTAAAAGTAATTTTTTTAACTATTAGTCCTATGCACATCAAATAATTTGTTTGATAAAAGTCATTTAAATAAAAATGAAAATGAATAAACACATAAATTTGTTTTGTTTATTTCGATTAAATTTTACAAAATAAGAACTAAGATTTAAGTCCATTGCATTATTCTAAATACACATTTCCATAATCATGACGAGCTAGGAAAAATTTGGTGAACATTTACAAATTCAAATTTGAATAAATTTGTTTTCATTAAATTAATTTTATTTAAAAATAGATTTAAAGTAATAATTTATGTTTGGAAATTTCATCTATTAAAAGTAAGTTTATGTTTTTTTTTTTATTTCTAGTAATAAGGTATGTTAAAAACACCGCCTGATGAGGAGAAATAATATCAAGTTGTTATAACTTAATGAGTTTCCATAAATAATATATTAAATCAAGGAAACTTAGAAATGATCAATTAAAATAAAAGGAAACTTTTGAAGGTTAATTATCTATATTTGACTAATAATTTAAAAAAATTAATTTTAGGAGATATTTATCCTAATTAAATTACGCATCTATAATTTCTTTAAATTAAATTACACACGCATCTGTTTTTCTTTTTGAAGTATGAAAATATTGAATGAAAATAAAATTATTATTTTAATAATAAAGGTTATCCTTTTCCAGTCGATAACAATTCAAACTTATAAATTTTTCAAATAATGATTGTACAAAACATATTTCAAAATGACATTCTAGCAATAATAAAAAAATGAATGTTATTTTGTAATATTATCAGAAAAAAATAGTATAGTGGGAATAAAAGCTAACTTAAGTGAGTTGATAAAATGAAAAGAAAAGGTTTTAAAATAAACGCAAAGAAAACATGACATTGCTAAAACTATATATATATATATATATATATATATGAAGCATAAGTTAAGATTAGTAGAAAAATCAAATGATAAGCAGGGGATTTAAATAATTTACGTGAAATTGGAAGTTCAAATTTTATTATGATCACCAATTTATGTTGCATGTTGCATAGAATAAAAAGACAAATAGAGATGGGTTATAACAAGCCAGCTTTAGATGGACAAAGATCACTTTCTCAGTGACCAGCATATCCACCAACAAATGCATAACTTGGGCAACAATAAGCAAGAGGTTGTTGAAATGGCCTGGCAACAGGTACCAAAGGCATATACCAAATGTTGCTAAAAGGATCATAAGGAACAGCACCTCCATTCCCTCTATATCCATCCATAAGGCCCCAATAACCATAAGGGTTTAGTGCATACAATTCATTATTATAATACCAAGGAAAAGTAGTGGAGGCTTGAATGGCCTTGGTACCAAAACTAGGAAATTTTTCCATAGACACTTTGGAATTTTCAAAGCCACTGGAAACATTAATCTCCACTTTTGGAACGACCCTTTTGACCTCCACTTGTTTGCCATTCAAGTCATGAAAAGTTTTTACCAAAACATCTTCTACAGATTTTTCTGAATCAAATGTGACAAATCCAAATCCTCTAGGACGACCCGTAACACTATCTTGCATTACCACCACGTCAGTTATTGTGCCAAACCTTTCAAAGTGTTTACGAAACTCTTCTTCAGATATACCTGAAGGTAATCCTCCAACAAAAATCTTCCTCCTCCTAATACTTTCAGGACCCAATCTTTGAGATTGCTTTTGTTGTTGCCCTTCATTGTTAGCTATTTCTTCCTTCACTCTCGTCTATACTCAAAAACAAGGATCAATGAATTATTAGTATCAGTTCATAATGTTTATGCATGTAATTGTCACATTCTAAAATTTACTATCACGTATACAAATTTTAAACATATTTTTTATTTGCACAATCTATTTTATTGTTAAGGGCATGATTTGATTAATAGTATTGATTTCTTTTTCTATTTTCATGTAATTCACAACTTAAAATAATTTCTATTTAGGAAGAAATTTATCATAATTTATTAGTTTAATTAATCAATATAACAATTATTTCAAGTTGTGGCCACAATTAAAAAAAAAAGAAAAAGAAATAAACTAACCTTTTCTTCGACAACATGGGTGCTTTCAAGGACATTATCAGCACTAGACATTTTTGCAGAAGTCAACAAAGTTGAACCTCTAACGCTGTTGTGATGTATTGAAATTGTAGAATCCAGTGTTGAGCGACAATCTATATAAACAAACATCATTCGTTATTAGATGTGCTGCAAGATCGTAATTAACAAGACCTAATAATTCTTCTTTTTTAACAACGAAACAATTAATAGGTTATTTATACGTCTTTTAATATCTGCACATTTAAAGGCATATCGATAAAAAAAGTGTGTTAGAAAGATAAATTTGTTTTACTTTCAATACGTAAATATATTTCTTCTTGAATACAAATTTAAATATCAATGAAACACAGTGCAAGAAAGCAATTAACACCCTTTAACAAAAGTGACTACTAGGGATAGTTGAAAACAAGAAGAAAGGAGTACAATGATATTTAGAATTTATTTTATACAAAAGCTTTAAAATTCATCACACCACCCCGTAGAAAAATCCTTTTTGAGAAAAGAAGAGAAATTTCTCACCGTTTTCTTCTTCTCAATTTTCTAGCTGTGTTATAGGCTCTATTGCTTTTGCCAATTTATAATCAATTAGATATCAAGTCTTCTTTTTTGAAAAAAAAAAAAACTAAATATGTAAACCTAGATTGTCTCAATTAAATTACAAATATTTTATTTATTTATATGCAAATCATTAATTATGATAATTGATTTGTATTTATAAGATTTTGATGTTTTGATTGAATATCTACTCTTGTCTCTATCCATCCATTAAAGAAGGTATTTTTATGAGCTGTTATCATTTTATCAAGTTGCATAACTTTTTTCATTAAATAATTATTTTTATAATTTTTATTTTTAAATGTTATCCTTTAAGTTAATTTAAATTTTGATATATTTTATCAAATTAAATATATCTTTCTTTGATAGAAAAAACTCAATTACTAAAATTATTATTATCTTGATTAACTTAAAGTTGAATTCTATTTTTAAATTTTGACACCGCATTTAAAGATGATAGCATATCTTGATTTTAGTGTTTTATTTTCATAATTTTTTCAATTTCAAAAATCTTATTTCAATATTTTAGTTTTGTTGAATACAATAAACTACTTATTATTAATAGTATTAAAATATTATTTTATTTTATTTTCTTACTGGTAAATTTTATCCAGAAAGAATTGTGCATAAAATATTTTAAAAGGTTTTTTCTTTTCCTTTTTATAAGCTTTTAGAGGATTCACCAAGTTCAACCCCATTTTATTGTGCATAAATGATTAAATCACACTATGTTTTATTTATGTAATTATTTATGTTACATATTTTTGGTTTATTTCTATTAAAATCAAATAATCAATTTTTAAATTACTATCATTAATAGCGTATTAATCATACACATATATATGTACATATACCCACGCATATATGTAACTAAATCTGCAAATGAAAAGACATGATTTAGTTATTATACCAAATTTCTTCTCTTTTTTTTATTAACTACCTATTTATTTCCTTAAATATAATCACATTAATTTGTGAAATTAAAAAAAAAAGTCCTACGTAAAATGCCCATTTGATGAATTTATTCATCAAGTACTGTGGATCATGTGCTAAAAACACTTTATACCTTAAAAGTATTAATATTGTTTTTTAAATAAATAAATATTTTTAAATTAAAATAATTTATATTTTAAATGAAAACAAAAAAAAAGTATTGAAATCTACTCAAAGCAAATCGAAGGAGTCCAAAACCTGAAATATAAAGGGATAGTATTGTTGTAAGGGTTAACGTACATGTTAAAAGTTTTGAAGGGAATAAAGTCTCAAATTAATTAGAAGAATAACTCATAATATCTATATATTAATACACTTGAAGTTGTATAATACTAAAAAAAGAATGAGTTTATAAAGTTTTAGATTTTAATCTTTGTATATGTAAAAATATCAAATGTAAACTTATCCACTATATTCAGATGTATAAGATGTATGACTTGGGTTAGATTCAAATTAAATCAAATGAAAAAAAAAATTGTATTACGAGAAAAATTTAAATTAAAGAGAGAAAAATATTTTTCAAAATATTTAAAGATAAAATTTGTGATGAATAAAAATTTATTGTTAATTTTAGTGTCACTAAATATTTAAAAAAAATTGTCTTTCATCTCAAATTGGAAGGAATTTGGTCCATCACAGAAATTTAAAATTCATCGCCAAATAATGAAAATAAAGAGTAATTAAAATGATATGGATCATATCATTAAGAACTATTAGGCATATAATTTGCACACGACTGCTTTAGGTTTGATTTTATAATGCCTTATTTTCATGTTTAATTGCCTGGTTGTTTAAATGTTGTATATGGTCTTACAAATTATTGTAGAGTTTGATTTAGTGACATACTTTCTTTTGTTAAAAACTTAGAACACCATTAATCAAGAAAAGTTGTAAGGTTATTTATTACATATATTGTGAAATGTGTTGCTATTAAGAAATGGACAGGATTTAGTTATAATGGATAAAATTATGCATAAATCTTCTAAATAAAATGTGTAGAACAAGAGAATTAGTGGAGTTAAAACCATAATTTGTGTATCAGATATACAGTTAAAAAATCATTTCCCAAAATTCTAACAAGCTAAAATATAATCAATCACAACTAATCCTTTCAATACGACGAGCCAACATTCCATCAACCATAGTTATTTATTCATTAATTCTTTTATATTCGTATCATTTATTATTTTTGTTTGTGGATGCATAACCCGTATTCACAATCTCAAAATAATCATACTCAAAATCTCAAAATGCAAGCAGAAATTTCTTGAGTACATTTTCCAAAAACAAATCTATATAAAAAAAATTGCTATAAAATTTTGTGACAAAGTGAGATTCGAAGGTGATTTGCTATATTTTTCGCACGATACACGTCAAACGTGATTATATTACTTAGAGTATACTTAGTTGAACACAATAATTTTAATAAATTAAATTTAAAATGTGTGTCTTCTCATTGAGTTAACTAATATTACGATGACATAATTTTGTTTTTATAAAAAAAATTATATTTTAATAAATGTGTTTTCATAATTTAAAATTAAATATTTTTGTTTTATTTAATTAACTAGATATATTTAATAGAGTTAAGATTTGTTGACATTAAATATTAAATTTAAACATTTATATTATTTAATAACTTCTTATAGAATATAAAATATATAAATATAACTTTTGAATTATCTTATATTATCTTATTCATTACACATCAATTCTACCTAATTTGAATATTTATATATATATTATTTAAAATTTGATGTTACTTATATTTTTTTTATATATTTATTTTTATTTTAAAAATATATTATTTATTAAAATAAAATAATGTGATAAAATATTTAATATTCATAATTTTTTATAAAACTTTGTAGAGTTGATAAATTTGATAAAAAAATTTCAAATTATCAGTTGAATTAAATAATTATATATTTTATAAACAAAATTTAAGTGACTAAATTTTAAATATAAACAAATCTTAACTTTATTTGATAATATATAAATTACTTAAAATAATTTTTTGAATTTTAATAATAAATAATTAAATACATATGACAATTCTCTGCAAGGTAAGAAGAGTTACATACATAGTTAAAAGATAATACATAGTTATATAAATATGGATGATAGTTGTATGCAATATTTAATTTTCTTTTATGAAATCGATAAAATATGTAAACCAAAAAATAATCAAATTATTTTATTTTATATAAACATGCAAATATGACATAATTAAACTAGTATCAATTTTGTTTGAAACTTTTACAAATTATATGTATATATAATATTACTTTTTTAAGAAATTAATTAAAATAATATTTTTTATCTTAAATTTTGTGTAAAAGAAATTTTAAATATTTTAAAAATTATCGATGAGAGTTTTTCTAAATAAAAAATTATCAAATGAATCATATGTTAACAATCAAAACTCCTTGAAATAAAAGTAGTATGTTTAATTTGAATTTTTGGAGAAAAAGGATTTTTAATCGTATTCAAGATGCTATCTTGTCTAAGTAGAGAGAGACTCGTCCCTTCTTTCTTTTGGTAGGGTTTTCTTACTCGTTTTTTTTTCCCCTTTTCTCTAACTTGCCATCACGATAGAAATGACTACATCACAGGCGTTGTCTAAAGCTAATAAGTGTTCTTGTGCTCCTCTATCTCGAAGCATGAAAGAGACGATTATGGCGAGGACAAAGGCTAAGAATTGCTCTACAGAAAGACAAATATCATTACCCATAGTACGAAGAAAGTTAAAGTGGTGGTTATGGATCCTTCAATGGCCTTTAATCACGACATGCAAGAAGATCGGTGCCTTACTTTGCTCACCAACCAAGTTCTTTCTATCTTGTATGTCTTACAGGAATAAGGTTTGTAACATCCTCGTTTTTGCTAAACAATTAATTTATTAATATAGTTCTAAGTTAAAGTATAGTTCTTGATTTTTTGAAAAAAATTGTGATAGAATTAACATGAGATACTTTAGATAAAATTGTTAGGTATATTTTTAAGAAATTTTTGGTAATTTTTAATTTTAAAATTTTTAAGTTTCAAAAAGTGTCAATTTATATTGATTAAAATTGTTGTATAAAGTTAAAAATAACATTTTATTTAAAAAAATAATAATAATAAAATTTATAAAAAAATTATATTTTATTAATATATACTATTTGAGATATAAAAATAATTATTTTTGTAATTAATGAGTATTTTTGGATTTTCTATTTAATTTTAAGTAAATTAGTTATATACTCAAATAGAAATTGCGTATAAAAATTTTGAACACCAACTAAAGGATCAATAGTGTCAAAAATATTTTATAATTATGTTTAATATATTTCATGATTATTTTTAAATTTTGAGATTTTTATCTAATCGTTTCAATTAATTACAAAAAAATTAGTGAAAATTTTAATATTATATTATTATTTTCACTATTTAAGATAAGGATTAGTCTCTAAAGCTTCTCACTTCTTCCCTTCACTTCCGTAAGCCCCATTTTCTTTCTCCCAAGGAACTTTGATCATCTTTGGTCTTAATCCCTTAAATTTCAAGTAAGTTCATTAAAATTTTTTAATATTCCACCT